TCAGGAGGGGGCGAGTCAGGGGACAAGATGCAGGGAGGCTTAGGGAGGGGGTGGAGTCCTGCGGGGCAGTCAGGGGACAAGGAGTGGGGGGGAGGGTTGGGGGTTCTGAGGGGGCAGGAAGTGGGAGGGAGTGGAAGGGGCAGGGGCGGGGCTAGGACAGGGGCGGGGCTAGGACAGGATGGGGGCGGGGCTAGGGCGGGGCTCCTCCCATCCTCTTTTTTGATTGTTGAAATATGGTAACCCTAGTGCATACGCCAAACCCGGAGCCCCTGACTGTCTCCCCCAGTGCTGTTGTCTTGGAAATAGAGGCAGCCCCACAGAGGGAGCCATTCAAAACCAAGGCTGCGGCCTTCCCCAGCCCCAAGACCCCCTTCCCTGTCTGCCCCCTCTCCCACCGTTGTTACTCGTTGCATTGGCGTAGCCCCAGCTGGGGCCTACATTCGGCTTTCACGGTGATTCTCCCCATGGGGCGGCTGCGGCTCGCCTCATCGGGCCGTGGAGCACAGAACAGCTCGGCTCTGCCAGGCCTGCCCCAGTCACCAGTGCTGAGCAGTCAGGGGCCGTGGAGCGGAGAGCGGCTCAGCTCTGCCGCGCCTGCCCCAGTCACCAGCGCTGAGCAGTCAGGGGCCGTGGAGCGGAGAGCGGCTCAGCTCTGCCGCGCCTGCCCCAGTCACCAGCGCTAAGCAGTCAGGGGCCGTGGAGTGGAGAGCGGCTCAGCTCTGCCACGCCTGCCCCAGTCACCAGCGCTAAGCAGTCAGGGGCCATGGAGCGAAGGGAGTTCGGCCCGGAGAGGCGCGCAGACCCAGGGCCTGCTCACAGAGATGCCTGGTGGGGAAAGGAGCGCGGCTCGGCCAGTAGGGTTGGCTGCCGCCTGGACTCCCTCCCCTGCCTCTCTGGCTCTGGGATTAGGAGACATACGCTGAGCATGAATCACGGCTTCTTTCTAAAGGCCTCTGAGCCCGCAGTGCTTTGCCCCCTTCTGGCCTCCCCTTGGGCTCCCATCTCAGCACAGGCTGTCTGCAGCTGGGACACTCTTGTAACGTCCTTGGGGGGGGGATGGAGGCAAGGGGAACGGAGAGCCGGGCCAGATCTGAGGCAGGAGGGCAGTGGGGAAGTGGCCGGGTCCTGCCGCTCCAGCAGGAGGGAAGGAGTGGGTGACCCCCACAGAGCTGGGGAAGTGGGGCAGGAACTCAGAGGGAGGTGCAGAGAAGGGGCTGTCCGGGTTTTAACTCCTAAGGCCAGAGGGGATTTCAGATCTAACTCCAGGGGAAGTTGGACTTCCTACAATCCCACCCATCCACCCACATACCCGCCACCCGTCCCTGACCAATGCAGGCTGGGGCTGAAGACTGTCAAGGATGCCCAAATCAAAATCTGCCTGCCCCCCTCCTTTGGGAGCTGCCGGACCTGGGGCGCGACAGACTCAGCTAGGCTCATGACAGGGGACAGGGGCGATGACTCAGGAGAAATAAAACAAACCACAGTCACAGTCAGCGAGGTCTTTTCCCTGAGGAACAGCATTTAGAGCGAGAGATCGCAACAAGAAAACTCCCCGATGCCACGGCCTGGGGCGTGAAGCCCACCCCTCCACATTGTCAGGCCTCCCTTAGTCTCCCCCGGGGGCACGAGCTCCACCACAGGGCCCGGGCGGAGTTCGAACCCAGCACCAAAGCGCAAACCTCTACCACTTAAGTTAAAGGAACAATGCCCTTAGCTGGCAGCAGAAGTAGGCTATTACCCTCTGTGTGAGGGGGATGCAGCCTCTGCTTCCCAGGCCTCTGACACAAACAGCCAATGTACGGCCCTGCCAAGGAGCAGAGGGGAGAAGCGGAGCTGGAGTTAACCCCTTGATTGCCATGAATCTGCTGCCGCTGGGCATGAAATATCACACTGCAAGGTTTGTAATAGGGCAGCACGGTGCGTTTGTCCCTGCGGACGCGCTCTGCATCGCAGAGGGGCGGGAGGATGGGAATCAAACAAGGAAACAGCCCCAACGTGCAGGGGGAGCAAAAAATTTACATAGCTCGGGGGGGCGGGGGAAGACAAGCAAACTTGTCAGAGCCTCAGAACAAAACCAGGATCCTAGTTTTGGGTGGGGGAGGGGGCCTGGGGGTCGGCTCACTCCCCGTCTCTGTGTTCCCGGCAGGGCAGAGGGAGGGGCGGGTGTGCAGGACCCAGCCCCGCGCTGACAAACCGGCCCGCAGGAGTGGCAGGATGAGCCAGGCAGAAGGATGGGCCAATGCTTAGGGCACCAGCTAGGCCTTGGGAGACGTGGGTTCATTGCCCGGCTTTGCCACAGCCCTCCCGGGTGACCCTGGGCAAGTCACCTCGCCTCACCTGCAAAGGGAGGCGTGAGGATAAAGCCCGTAAAGACTGTGAGGCGCTGAGATGCTACAGTGACAGCGGCCTTCGAAGCCCCTAAGCCAGAAGAAGCTGGTTCTGAGAAACAGCAACCCCCCCCCCCCCCGTAC